GGGAGGGAGGGAGAGGGAGGGAGGAGAGAGAGGGAGGAGAGAGAGAGAGAGAGCTGAGCTCTCATCTTTTGATGACTTCGTCTCAGCTCCTGGCTCTTTGAAGAGCCCGGGGTAGGTCTGTGCCTAGGAGGTAAGCCAAGCACCTGAGAATGTGAGCCACAAAACAGATACAACGTGTAAATTAGGCGACAAGACACACACCACCTGATGAGGCCGAGGCCAAAAGCCGCAGAAGCCATCATCCTCCCAGATTCGTCCATGCAATTGTCGCTTAGCCGCTACCCTAGCTGCCCTAGCTCAACATGGCCGACAGCACGGCGGCTGGGCCTCCACCGCCACTACCCCACAGCGCCGCCGCAATTCCTGAATGCCAAGGGATATCTCCTGTGCTGGATCGGTTCAGCCTGCTATGCTGGAAGTCGCAGTCCGAAGGGCCTCCGGTGTTCCAGGCAAGGCCACCCCCCGTTCGGCTGCCCCGATGGCTCTCAAGAACACCTGAGATGGCAGAACCCTGCTGCAACATCCCAGCAAATCTATGGCGGCACGTGGGGGATTCCAGTTCAGAGCTACAGAAAACCGCAGAGAAAAAACCCAGAAAGCGGGCTCTGCCCCCCGAGGTCCCCACGGCAAAGCCAGCTCTCTCGAGCCACTGCCGAGGGCTCACCTCAAAAAACGCCAGGACGAAGTCTTCGGGTGTTGGTGGCAAGCAGCTTGGAGTTCACCATGCAGAGTCTTGTCAGAGCTGTAGATAGGGCGTGCATTCGAACGCCTGCCCGAAAGTCACTCCCTGCATCCGCAAATCCCCAAAGCTCAAAACCCAAAGACACCGATATAGCGAAGACACCCCAAACAGGCCTCCTCCTCGCAAGGCCAAGGGCTTCCAAATCTCGGGGCGCGCTGCGGCGGCCTCTCGCCGGTCCTTTTCAAGGAAAAGAGCAGGCTTCCGACTGACGCCGGGCTCAGGGCAATTTATGAGTTTTCATGTGGCGTGCTGGCGAAGCCATCTCTCTAGCCTTCCAACAAGAGCAGGCTAAGTTGAGCAAAAGGCGCGGCGCTCAGTCCTGATCAGAGCTCCCCAACACTGCTCGAAGTGTCCAAGAACCAAGGGGTCTCCAAGCAGAAACTCCTTGGCCACCTCGGAAGCATCTCAGGAGTCTCGGACGTCCCTCCCTCGTAAACTCGCTGAGGCCACTGACTTCCACCCGAACCCAAGCGGGGTCGGAGCCGCGGCTCCGCAATCGGAAGTTCCGATCGCCATCCTTCGAATCAAGCTTTCTCTGTGGAGTTGCCATAGCTCCATAACACACAAGAAGGCTCAACTTGCGCCTTCTGCTCAATGCTTTCGAAGGAGCCCACGTAAATCCTGAGCACAGAGGAAAGAAGCCCAGGGAGCCAGAGGGCAGTCGAGGCCATTGTCTGGGGCTTCGTCTTTGGTGCGGCGCCTGTGTAGCCCTTCCGCTCAGGGCCCATGGCAACGGCCTCCGAAGAAGCTCAGCTTCATTCCCGGGCTACATCTCAGTGTCTCAACGGCCTCCGGGAAGGAGCCCCAGCCATTGCCTCCCACAGGCTGACACTTGAAGCGCAACATACTTCCACTTTTGGGAGGGCCTGCATGCACGTAGAAGACGCTCTCGGGGTCCTAAAGCATGCAAACAGGTTGAAAGCTCGGATGCCTTTGCCATGTGCCGGCTTTAGCAAGTCCTGCTGACAGTTCGGCTCATCCGTCAAAACCGTCATCGCGGCGAGCTGGCTCCGGCGGGCTCCGGCGCTCGCATCAGCAAAAGTTTCTTCTAATCACTCACATACATCGAGGCTAGAGGTCTCATATGTCTCGAGAATCGGGCTGCACATGACATGCCATTCCGAACTTCTGGAATTTCGATGGCTAGCATTGTCCTTGAGGCAGCTGCTGCGACATTCGTCCTCTCTGCTACAGGTCTGCTGTGGAGGTTTGCTTGACCCAACCTCACGCCCACACACGCACACTTTTATCCACAGCCCGCACCACACCGCATCTGTCGCTAGTGCACTGCTACCCCGAGTTGCTCTTTCTGCAACATAGAGAGCCAGCGCTGACAGCTGCACCGATCAACTAGCTTCCGACTGTCGCTGCATCCTTGACATTGCCACCCTTCTGTAGTGTACAATAACGAAACTCCACTGCTCGGCCTCATGTGGATGGTTCTGTGGGCATGCACTCAGGCAACGAACGGCCGACCCCATCAGCCATCGCGCTGCCGTGGCGCGTTCCTCAGCAGGCAAGCTTCTGCGAGGACCCGTTTTGGAAAAAGAACCCGTGCCCTTCCCTTGTGCCGAAGGTCTTGATGATGTCATCCACTCGGATGATCATCTCTGCCGCCTGGCAAGCGACATACCAGCAAACATACGTGCCGCGTACCTTCGACTCGATGACACTTTGCACAGATATTGCATACCGTGTCCGGACTGTTGGTACTGCGGGTGGGTGGTGGTGGTTGGTGGTGGTTGGTGGTGGTTGGTGGTGGTTGGTGGTGGTTGGTGGTGGTTGGTGGTGGTTGATGCTCATCCCTTCGATTATCTAGATCGAACGGCACGAATGCGAAACGCTTGGTCGCCTCTGCCGCGGAGCAGAGCTGCGACATCTTGCTCCTAAAGGACTCCATGATGCCCAGCCTTGCACACAGCAGCTGATTCCGACAGTGCGAGAAAGAAATACAACTCTGAGTGCTCCTGCTAGAAATGCTAGAAGACTGATGACGTGACTAACAAGTGCAACAACACACTAAGACTGACATGTGAATGCAGAAAGTAAAGGTCAGTCGGTAGCGAGGAAGCAAAGGACATGGTCAGAAGAAGCTTGCAGCAAAGAGAAGCGCAATGAAAGCTATGCGGTCTTCATGGTTACAGTACTTTCGCTGCTCTCGGCCGCTGAGACTAGAACAGACACCAGGCACACATCCCAGAGGCCCGGGCTGCTTCATGTCAGCCACGCCACCGGAGGTGAACTCCAAGCCAGTGGAGTGCTCTCCTGGCAACTCCAAGGGTCAACATCGCGAGTCTGAGGTGGCCGACTCAAAGATGCCTTTGGCGTGCGCTGCTCGCAGCTGCCCCGCCAGCTCCGCCGCATCCAGGCCTCGCATTCAACATCCATACTCACAACTAAAGTTAATCGAGCCGGCAAGAATTTCAGCTCTTGATGGACACATGGGTCCAAGCCAGCATTGTCGGCGAGGATGACTGGGATCTGCCTTACGCCCAGCAAACCCCAGAAATCGAAAGGCGCAGCGCCACGTGCAGAGCGTTAGCCGAGGAGCGTCAAGGCCTTGCCAAAAGCCTCCATGGCTGCGCTCTCCTTGCCGCTCACCTCCAAACAAAACAACAGAAAACGAAGCACAGAGGGCTGAAAAGACAAAGTTCCAAAGGCGCCTCCGTGAGCTTCTGCTGCACCTCCTGCGCCATGGCCTCGTTACCGGAGCCAATTGCTTGGGGTCTCTGTTTTCTCAAGCCCCTCAGACCTTAGGCCTCGTCTGGATGCATGCCGTGTACGGAGTACACTGAAACACCCCTCTGGCTTTCGCTTTTGACTTATCCTCTCTGCTCGGCCCCAGACCATCTCCATGGCGCCGCCACCCCAGACCTCGGAGAATCCGAGCAACCGGAGCGAGTTAAGTTATGCAGGCACGAAAATCAGTAGATTGTAGGCAGGAGGTCGGGGTATGTACGAGCAAACATGCTGTGCGATGTAGTATGTGAGTATGTGTCTCCGCATGTGCATGTGGTTGCTGCCAACCCACCAGAACCCGGTTGCACTCTTTGCCACTGTTCCATCCATAAAACTGGTGATGCAAAGACGCCTTTGCACAGCTGGGACTTTTCCAATCACGTCGCTTCACGGCAGAGCCCCTTTCTCCCACAGGCAGTGACTGCTTGCAAAGGATACTGTGTGAGCTGATCCAGAGTGCCCGAGTGCTTCGACGAGCTGCAGGGGCAGAGGAAAGCAAGTGAGACCTGGATGACACGCAGAATCTAGAAACACAGGCCGCGGCGACTCGCGTCTCCTGTCACACGTGAGTGAAGCCTCGACACCGAGCCTTCACTGGCGCTACTATGAGGGGCTCCTGGACTGTCTGGTACAGCACTGCCAGGGCATCGTGCAGGGAGCGTTCGGCCTGGGACAAGGAAGGGTGCCCCTCGGCCCCTCGGCTTCGTGGCTTCGTGCGGCCCAAAACGGGGCGCCTCGTCCAAGACGTGCGTGGAGCTGCCTCGCAGCCTCGGCGAAGTCACGCGTACCGCTCTTTCAGGCTGCGCTCGGCGGGTTTTTGGGGCTCCGAACACGATGGTGCAAGCTTCGCCTTTGGAGCAGCCAGAGAACCTCACGTAGCCCCGGTTCAAGACGAACTGCAGCCGTTCCATTGCTTGTGAATCGACTCCCCTTTGCGCAGATTGAAACGCTTCGCTTTGGTGCGTGAGTGCCAGAAAGTCTGGGCTCCATGCTTGATGACCTTGTCTTCCCCTTGGTCGTGGAAGACTGCCACACAATGGTGTCTAAACCGTAAACCGCCCACCACACACACACACACACAGACACACACAGACACACACACACACAGACAAACGCAGTTAGTCTGCATTCAAGTGCAGATGTGCTCCGTGCAGCCCAGCGACCGGAAACTTGCCTCTTTCGTCGGAGTAGGTGTTTG